TTTGTGATGACATTTTACCAATATCTAATGGAGATGATTTCTGAGCTAACTCGCACACTTTTGAGTCACTAAGATCAATTCCAATACGTTTCACTCGACTTTCCAGAATTTTCAAATAAACCTTCATATTGCGCAACAATAAAGAAATGGTATATTCTCTGTCAGGGGTATGCGATAGACTTACCTCCATGTGGTGCAACCTGGGCAACGTTTACTCATACGGCAAAAAAGTCTATTAAGCAGCAGTTGACTTCTGTCTTCAAACTGCCATCACCCCACTGTATGTCATATTCGACTTCTTCCACAGTAATCACTTCACCTTTTTTCTACCTTCGTCTTTGAAACACTCTTCTGTCCCCCTCCCTCTCGACTTCTTTTCACTTTGATGTTCCTTGCCTCTGTGAAGCTCGAAGTCAACTAAAGGGCTAATGATAACTATCAAAACGCCGGCCATTTGAAATAAATAAATAAATATTGAAACTTCATTATGAACCATTTGAAATAAATAAATATATATATATATATTTTGAAATATATTCTCTGTCACAACTACCAACGCAATCGTGAGTTTAAAATAGCTCGTCTGTAGATTGCGCTTATAAAAGCAAGTAATGTAATTCGAATGTTCTCGATGCCCACCACAAATCCTTCAGCGGTCCTCGATCAATCTTAATTCTTCATCCAATTATCAATCATAGTCAGTAACCTTACTCAAATTCTTTTCACAGTAATTGAATAAGTCTTTTAAAGTTTAGATCTTCATATAATAAATATCCCAAGAGTGACATTCATTTCTAACCTTCATAACAAGAGTTGAGCACAAATATTTAACCACATATTACGCAATTTATAAAATGAGCACCTGAAATATGGCATGTGAAAAGAATGCATACCGCAGAGTTCCATAGAAAGTTTGCAAGTTCTGTTTCCTTGAAGCCTCTGAGAAACTCGGAAGCCCGAGATCGATCGCCGTTGAAAATGAGAAAGATAAGAGCCGCGAACCAGTCGAATGTCTGAAAGATTTCGCTTTCCCTATTTGTTCCCTCTAGGCAAATAGAATCACATAATCCTTAAGATGAATAAACTAAGAGAATCCTTCGCAATCTTGATTTAGATCATCTCACCTAGGTCATTGTTTTCCGAATTAGTTCCCCGCGGTTTATTCGATGATGATGATGATGATAGAGTTTTAATGTACAGTAACATGTCAGCTAATTCAATTTTCTGCGTAATTTCAGAAACAGTGGGATCTAATGCCTTTACACGACGACCATATCTACAACAAATGTGCAATCAAACAAATGAAAAATTGGTGCCTACTCAATAATCAAAGTGATTGCAACCTCTTCCCAAGGTTGCAAAATTGAAGAAGCGGAATTTGATTGCACTAAAATCAAAGCAGATGTAGAAGCCAGCATTAGTGGAAGTACTTTCAGTAAAATTTGTCCCAACAAATTTACCCGATGAAGAAATTGGCTGATTTATACCACGATTTGCGCGGAGACATATATCGAATAGGCAGCCAATACCTTAATTTGTAAAAGAAGTTGAATACTGGAAAACAATACTTTCATGACAAATGGAGAAAAAGTGTTATTACCAAGGATCTGTCTGTTGGACTTTGATAAGTGCTTTGCCAAAGCGTTAATTTTCGACTTAATATTTGGCAATTTGTTCAGAATATCGAGATCAGCTTTAACTCGTGGGCCGTTAGAGGCTTTAAGAATGTTTAAGACAATGTATGCAAAAGTAGCTGTAATTGGTCTCTTTGAGATCACCGGACGACTGTCAATACACGGGGTCTGATTGCAGAATGGTTTGGACTTATTGATGAAAGGTTCAAAGGACTCTATGCTCAAGGAAGTAATTATTGGATATGGATAAGGATCTGCATTGTGCTAAAAAAGCATAAGATTGGTAGAACTTAGGCTCCAGAGATACAAATTATGTATTACTACTTTTGCATCAAATGGAATAATTGGGCAATTTTGCTAATCCTACAGAGGTAATAGAATCGCGAAATGACCACCCTGTCAATAGATTGTCTAAAGTTGAGCAGTACGTGGATACCTCCTTCATAGCATTTTGATAACTAATCGGATAAAGCTCTACTTAGTTCAACGGGGAGAAAGCTTTCAACCGCTACTGCGAAATCGGAATTTGACTATTCTATCCTACTCGCTGGACAAATAGAAAAGCATTAGTCAACAGGGGGTAAAAATTTAGATCTAACTTAAACCACCGAGACTATAACGACTGATCTATTTATTCTCCAGTACAATTATGTGCCACTGAGAAGAAAGCATCTCTTTTGACAAGATGGTAGCTTCCTGCCATTCTTTTGAAACATTACATCCTTGAATTCTGTCATGTCATATCTAGATGATGTCCTAAAATAAACTCATATTTATTAAAAAATAATAGCTTCTAGAACTACATGGGGATCACCTTGACCTCCACATTCAACTTTTTCCACATTTTTTATACTCTGTTAGCTTGAAATGAGAATGTCTTTGACAAACTGCAAGTTTTATCACCACTCTAACCTCACAAAGACATTGAGGAGGCAACCGGCGTTCAGTAGGTCCACCAAGCACCGAACATTTAACCAGAAGACGATTTCTTTCAATCACACCTTCGTCGATCATAAACTTTCCTGAATATCTACCTTCGGCGTCAATACTGCATCGAAGTTGAGCACTTTTCAGCATATTTCGAATGCCAAACCGAGATTCAAGAAGCAAAAATATATTCAATGAGGAAATCATTGCACTCAAGAATCTAAAGGTGTTGATAAATACAATCAACTTTTCATACTTTAAGCCAAAAACGAGTGTCTCATCGGGTCGGCAAAGTGAGGACAACTTTGTTGAGGAATCAAGCATTATAGTGCGGTCAATAAAATCCTAGAAATGTGATATGCTAGATGGCAACACATTACCGATAATGTTCTTGGCGTAATTGGAAGCCCGTCTGTTATTTGAGATAGGGGATATTTAAGAGCCTCATTTACAGACGAAAAATTGGCAAATACCCTGATAAGCCGATTGAGGACCTAAAGAGAGATTAGATATCGATAACGCTGGGAGCTCACAAATTGCAACTGATCATCATTTTGGTCGATAGGAATCAAGGCATCATTGGCCAAACTGCTTTCCACTTCCAGAGAATCCTTCAAAGAGTAATTTACAACTTGACTCTGGTTAACATCAACGACTGACTCCGTACCCGAACCTTCGAGCACTTTCCACGCTTCCTCAAAACGTGTATCAATGAAACCATTTCTGCTTAAGAATTCAAATCCATGGCATGAAGATGATAATTGGTTAACCAGAAGTTCAAGCTCATTCTTTGAGACAGTCTGTAATCACAAGTGGACGAAATGAAATTTCAAGTAGGAAATAACTTATTTTATACATCAAACTTACTGATTCGCTTGAACAAATAAATTTAGGGTCAAGATTGTTGAGAATATCAGAATATACTATCAGTTCTGTACCTTTCGGATATTTGAGTACTGATAATAGAAAATTATTCAACGTTTTTTCGAATAGTTTCCGTACGCTTTCATCACTAAAATATCAATAATCAATAGTAAAAAAACAGTTAGTCAAATACAAATAAATAATAATTTAGATTTATTATTCATTAAACTTGCATGTAACGCTCATCTTTGCGTTTGTTTCTCTGGAGAAAAAAGTGTGTATAATTTAAAATTCAATGTAAACTTTTAATGATCGTTCATAATTAAAGTGCTCACCAGAAATTTAAATGTCTTCAAAGCCCTGCGGAGAACGCAGATGGTAGATTGATCATACGATCTTTTGATGGACAAATGTATTCTGCCGAACACAATTAACAAATGCTCCATGATGTGAGCAACATTCTGGACGCTTTTCCTATTTTCTTTGCAGAAAATTTCAAACTTTTCACTAGAAATGAACTCCAAGCAAGTCGTCAGAATGTGAATAATGATTTGATTTCGGCTACAAAAGAGCAAGACAAAATTAATTAAGTTTTTTTACGAATTGATGGGTGTGTAATTGTAAAAGTGAGATTGAGCTCACAACTAATTCTTATGATGAATAAAAGACCTAAATGGCAAAAAATTACTGCGATTATCACCCTCAAAACATTGAAATCTTATCTCCAACCGAGCACGTTTCAAGAAACATTGATTAAATTCAATGAATCTTGATACATCTGTATACAATTGCTTAAAATTATCAGTCACAGTAAAGGTAAGGCTTATCAAGATCTTGCTAGAGCCATGTGACATGTGATAAGCCAGTTCACTGGATTCCTCTGAGGAATTCGAAAACGAAAATGACTTTGCCATTAGAAGAAGATGAACAGTTTTTTGGTTTCTTTGTCCTAATGCCTCCTTTTATGATTCGTTTAAATATCAAGGTGAAACTGAAGACAACTAGCACAAATTTATACCTAAGAAAGTTTATGCAACGAAACACTAGCTAATAACATGAAATATGCAACCACTAATAGTAAATAAATGTTTACAAAAAGAACATAATTCCGCTAAAATATCGAGAAACCATCAACCAAGATTTCAAATGCCAAACTTCTTGTTGTTTCAAGTCTCATTAGACATAAGCTGCTTAGTTAAAACTCAACACAACATATCAGATTATCATCAACAGCTTTGCCAGCGGTTTCGATGGGAGCCATTTTAATTGATTTTTGTAAGACCGGAAGTATATACTCTTAAAAGCTGAATAAGGCAAAGGGAAAAAATCTGAATTCCACGGAATTTACCCCTTATTATTAGGTTGGCAACTCAGTCATTGCCGATTTCAAATAAGAAGGCAAATTCGGAATTTTTGTTTAAAAATATAACTTTATTCAATTAGATATTGGCCGTTCTTGTCGATGACCTTTTTCCATCCTTCTGGCAGAGTAAAAATTCCCCCTTCGTAAAATGTCTGGTCTTTGCTATTAAAAAACTGAATTAGGTGTGATCCGACATCATTCGCGTTGTTAAAAATGTTACCATTTAAAGAGTTTTGCATGGAACGAAACAAATGGTAATCCGAAGGCGCAAGGTCAGGGCTATATGGCGGGTGTAACAAAACATTCCAACCCAGTTCCAATAATTTTTGCCGAGTAACCAAAGATG